CCAAAGTAATATTATTCATTGTTCTTACCTGTCCATTTAATTTTGTTTACCACTACTTGTTTTTTAGTCACTTTTTATTGTGTGTGCAATTACTGTATATTCCAATTACTTTTTGCAAGTACCAAAACTATCTTTTGTTAGCTAGTACCAACTACCTCATTTTTTTTTACTTTTTATTGTGCAATAAACTGCTCAACTTATTTAATATTACAAATCAGATCTTACTCCTAAACCAATATTATTTCATAGTGACTATCTGTCCATTTAACTTGTTTACCATTACTTAATTGTAGTCCCTTATATATTTTTTTTTTCCTTTATTTTAGCTTTATATAACTACCTTAGCTCATATATTCACAATTGTTAAAATAATCAAGGTGCTATTCTCAGGTGCTAAAGTTAATAAGTTCACTATTTTGCCATTATATTCCAAAGCTCATTTATTTGATTACCACTTTATTGTTCACCACAACTTATATTAGTCCCTTTTATATTATAATTTTATATTATAATTCTAACTTTAAAGAATTACCTTTAAAGTACTACCTACTATCATATTCCCAAGCTCCATTATTTGATCATCACTTTATTTGTTCACCACAAATTATTTTAGTCCCTTTTATATTGTCCCTTTATTTTAGCTTTAAAAAACTACCTTAGCTCATTATTTTTACATTTGTTAAATAATTCAGGTGCTATTTTTTTTTAGCTTTAGAATATTTACTTTGTTTTATACTTAATTCTAACTATAGATTCACTACAAATCTTATGATTACAAGCATTGATCCTGATACCAACCTCTTATTTAATGACTTAAATGATTCAAACAGTTACTGTAATTACTACACAGCAGAACAATCAAAGGCACTTCTCAGAGCCAACAACAACATAACTATCTTTAACTACAATATCAGATCTTTAAGCAAGCATTACGATGACCTCCTAGCATTACTAAATTCCTTGCATGCCAATATGTCCATCATTACACTAACTGAAACCTAGCTAAAGCCTGATACTACAGATGTCTATGCCACTCCTGGTTACACAGCCATACACAACTGTAGGCCAGACCAACAAGGGGGTGGCACAGCTATATACTACTCAGACCAACTAGAATGTATCACTAATACTTGCACAAGGGATGAACATGGGGAATATATAATAGCTAAATTCAAATCCAAATACCTACAAAAACCTCTCACAGTGATAAACATCTACAGAGTTCCACAGTCAAACATTAGCCAATTTAGTCAAAATCTAGGAAGTATGATAACTGATGCACGCATGAACAAAGATCACTTACTACTCTCAGGTGACTTCAATATAAATCTCCTGCAAGACCAGGACCCACACGTTACTGAATTCACAAACACAATGAGTAACTGCATGTTGCTACCAACAGTAACAAAACGTACACGAGTTACAGAGACTAGTGTTTCCCTACTTGACCACATCTGGACCAACACCATATCCCCTTTAGGTCAAAATCTTGCCAATAAAATCCCAAGCTCAGATACCCCACCAAATGACTACCTCACTGGCAACTACCCGAACACACTGTTCCTAGCTCCAACTAACCCATACGAAGTCTCCTTTATTATCAACGCACTGAAAAACAAGGCAGGAGATTTAAATACCTTACCACCCTTTATATACAAAAAAGCGTCACAAGTACTATCACCAATCATTGCAACACTCTTTAACAAATCCATTGAATCCTCCACCTTCCCTACAGTACTCAAAATAGCAAGGGTCACCCCGATCCATAAAGGAGGAGACCAAACAGACTTGAATAACTATAGGCCAATATCCAATTTACACCCTCTCTCAAAAATCTTCGAAAAATTAATTCATAAACGAATCTACTCCTACCTCATCTCCCAAAACATTCTCAACCCCTGCCAATTTGGATTCAGGCCTAATAAAAATACTAATGATGCTATTATACACATGCTAGAACATATGTACATTGCAATAGAAAAAAGAAGTCCCACTGGGGATCTTCATTGACTTACGTAAAGCTTTTGATACAGTTGACCATGACTTGCTCCACGTAAAATTGTCACACTATGGTATAAGAGGCACCCCCTCAACTACCTCAAGTCATACCTCAGCAACAGAAGCAATATGTGTACGCAATGGTGTAAACTCTTCCGCTCAACCATTACAGTTGGTTGTCCCACAGGGAAGTGTCCTTGGCCCTCTTCTCTTTCTCCTATACATAAATGACCTACCAAATGCTTCGCAATTACTCAAACCCACACTTTTTGCAGATGACACTACATACGTCTTCTCTCACCGAGCCCAGTCACGCTAGCCAATACTGTAAACACCAAATTACAGAAAATATCTACCTGGATGAGGACTAACAAACTTACACTAAACATTTACAAAACCTACTTCATTCAGTTTGGTAACAGAGCTACAGATGTACCTCTTAACATAACGATAAACGGATCACCTATCACAAAGCTAACAGAGGGAAAATTCTTAGGAATCCACCTCGATAATAGACTCAAATTTCATACACATATACAACAAATTTCTAAGAAAATTTCCAAGACTGTAGGCATACTATCGAGGATACGGTACTATGTTCCACAGTCAGCCCTCCTGGCCCTATATCACTCTCTTATTTACCCCTATCTCACCTATGGAATTTGTGCATGGGGCTCAACAACAATTAACCATCTCAGACCACTAATTACCCAACAAAAGGCTGCAGTTAGAATGATAACAAATTCTCACTACAGGCAACACACTCCACCAATATTCAAAACACTCAACCTACTCACCATACAAAACATCCATACTTATTATTGCACCTATTACATACATAGAACACTTAACTCTGATATTAACCCTCCCCTCAAACATCTCCTTGCCAACCTCAACAGAACACATGACCATAACACAAGGCACAGATCACTCTTTGATGTTCCTCGTGTCCATCTCACGCTATGCAAAAACTCAATGCACATAAAAGGCCCTAAAATCTGGAATTCATTACCTGTAAATATAAAAGAAACACTACCTGTTTATAAATTCAAGTCTCTTCTCAAAGTTCACTTACTCACTCAAAACCAAATAAATACTGAATAACTGAACCTTATAAATTGTATATCCAGAATGTTACTCACAATTATATCACATAAATGTTAAACCTAGGACCCAATCTAACTTTATTTTTTTAAATACACAACCTAACAGAATACTCCATTCTACTGAATGAACAGCAATGCATGCAACCATATGACCTGTCTTTGTAATACTCACTTGTGCTTTATAGTTATCTGTTTACAATAATGTTTTATCACTGATTTCATCATTGCTTAGTTAATCTTAAGTTAATTTTAAGCCAGCCCATAATGCTATGCATATAAGTGGCTTTGGCATGCTGCTCTTACCTGTATTTTTTTTGTACCTCTGTATGTATGCTAAAATTTCTAAATAAATAAAAAAAAAAAAAAAAAAAAAAAAAAAAAAAAAGGTAACCTAACCTAACCTAAGGTAACCTAACCTAACCTAAAGGAAGGTAACCTAACCTAATGTAGCCTAACCTAAGATAACCTAAGGTAATCTAACCTAACCTAAGAGAAGGTAACCTAACCCATCCCAAGGTAACCTAACCTAAGGTAACTTAACCAAACCTAAGATAACCTAACTTAAGGTAACCTAACCTAACCTAAGATAACCTAACCAAACCTAAGGTAATCCACCCTAAGGTCACCTAACCTAAGGTAAATTTTATTCCCAGACCTTTTATGTTATGGTCTCTCCTTTACCCTATTTTTGCAACCTTTACAATGAGCATTTCGAAACTATTTTACTCCCTACTTTTGGGGTGCGCTCTTCTCTCAGGCTTTGCTATGTATACCTGGTGAGTGTTTCAGGGGGCCAATGCCCCCCATGGCCCGGTCCATGACCAGGTGGACAATGTTTTTGCTCTTTGACCAGATGATTAGTCTCTTCCAACCATTTCATGATGCCTTAACAAATCTGCTCCTTCCATCAAGTTCAAATTATTATTATTATAAGTATGGGGGAGTGCAAAACCCGTAGAATTATACAGAGCATGTTGGGGGGGGGGGGGATGGATGGTAGTCAGGCTTAGTTCAGGGAACCAGAGTACAGATCCAATTCCCAAGATCAAGAGCCCCTCACCAGCATCAAGGAACCTCCCTTGAGAGGCATCAAGTTCAAAGTTAAATGGAAATCTAACCGTTTCCTCCCCTTGATGTGCATGTCCATTGCTCAGCTACAGGCTTTGTCTTTTTTGTCTATGACAAACACAGTGGTATGTACATTCACTTTTCTCATGCTCCCTCTGTCAAGAAACGTGTTATTGTTCCTATTTTTCTCAGTTTAGGAAAGAAGAAAGTCTGTTCAGCATGTGAGAATGCAGAGTTCACGCAGGAAGGATTCTGTCACATTCTGCGACCCTCAATTTCTCGGCTTGGGAATTTCCACTATTTGCAGCTTGTACTCTTACCCTGGCAGCCCTTCTGATTTCGGGAACTCAGCATTCACACATGCTGAATGGACTTCTTGTCTCCTAAGCTCTCTTCTCCTGTCAAATTTGTTAATTGCTCGTATATATTTTTTTCAGTGACTAGTAGTGAGAATTACCATGGAATCATAAATACGTATTTTAAAATATAGTGGTACCTCGGGATACAAGCTTAATTTGTTCCAGAAGGCTGTTCAAGTGCTGATACTGAATGAATTTGAACCCATAAGGAATAATGTAAATTAGATTAATCCATTTCAGACTCCCAAAAATACACTTACAAAAGCACTTGCATAATTATTCGTGTTTTGAGCTGTTCGTATCCCGAGGTACCACTGTACGTATAGGCTAATACAAGTCCTAACCATTTGAAACTAATTTCAACATCTGGCAAATTTAGATTAACCAAGTGTCTTCACATTTTTTTGACACCTGACTGATGGTTGACTGGCACCGTCTAGCAGCAATGACAACAATATTGCAAAGGTCATTGAGAACTCCCATATTATTATTACTGTTTACATATACTTATAAATAGATAATGCACACAGGTACCACAAAACATAATTTTATTTCATCAGTTTTAAACATGAGGCAATTTATACAGTATTTATAATTTAGAATAAACTGAATTCCAGTATACAACAGCTTTCAATTTATTTTTTGAAAATTCTAATTATAAATCAACAAAACCATTGGTTTTCTCATAAATCAAATAAATATTAGAACAGTGACTCCTGATGCCCAACAAGAAAGAGAATCTCACTATGTTGTGGACAAAAAAGGTATTATTTTTAAAATTACATTAGAAAATCATCTGAAATTTTATTGCATAAAAACTGTTCTTGGATATATCAGTAATGTATATACTTTGAGTATAATGCAATACCATGTACAGGTTCACCTCTGACTTTGTCAAATACAGCCTCCCCTCCCTTAGCGACGTTACTCATTTACCGATGACTCCAACTTACAACCAACTCTCTGGCCAGTAGGCAAACCTAAATGTAAATTAGAGCTGATTACCTCTATTCTGTTTATTACAGTATACAGTACACTACTGTATAAACATTTAAAAATACAGTGGAACCTCCACTAATGAGTTCAATCCATTCCGTGACCTTGCTTGCATTTGGATTTGCTCACTTGCAGAGTCAATTTTCCTCATTTAAATTAACTGAAATACGTGCAATTAATTTGTTCCAGTGGAATTCCAGGCACCATAAAATACTTCAATAATTTCCCTACTATCAACTTTATGGCTTATTTATCTATCATAGTTCATCTAATATGATATAAACAATATTAATAACATAGAAACATGATATATACACTAGAATGAATGAAATATTATGTATGTGAGTATTGTTAGTAGCTGTCATTGTTTTTGGAGCCACCATGGTGGCCATTCCTCCTACTGACTTCATCCCTTCCCCTACTTTTATTATAACAGAAAACAGAGTGTCTGTAAGGCAAACTCCATTAGACTGTCTTTTTTCTATCACTTAATAGTTTAACTGCTACACTCTTAATAGGGAAACTTAATGGTACACTCTTAATGGTACACCTAGTTTGTGTTTATGATTTCCTGCTTTAATTCCATTGAAATCATCCTCCCTTTTCTTCTCAGCACTCTCCTTTGCACTTGCTTTCTTGGGAACCATGGTTAGAAACAAGAAATTTTGCAAAATAACTGCACGAAACGTAAGGAAAACACAAGAATTTCCCTCTCTCCCTAAGCGGCGATGTTTTGATACACATACTGACATCTAGTGGTGGCCATCTGAAACTCACTTATAGTATTATTATTTATTTTTTTTAACAAGTCGGCTGTCTCCCACCGAGGAAGGGTGACCCAAAAAGAAAGAAAATCCCCAAAGAGAAAATACTTTCATCATCATTCAACTCTTTCACCACACTCACACATAATCACTGTTTTTGCAGAGGTGCTCAGAACACAACAGTTTAGAAGCATATACGTATAAAGATACACAACATATCTCTTCAAACTGCCAATATCCTGAACCCCTCCTATAGAGTGCAGGCATTGTATTTCCCATTTCCAGGACTCAAGTCCGGCTATATAGAAATAAACGGTTTACCTGAATCCCTTCACTAAATATTACCATGCTCACACTCCAACAGATCGTCAGGTCCCAAATACCATTCGTCTCCACTCACTCCTATCGAACACGCTCACACACGCCTGCTGGAAGTCCAAGCCCCTCGCCCACAAAATCTCCCTTACCCCTTCCTTCCAACCTTTCCGAGGACGACCCCTATTATTATTATTATTATTATTATAATAATAATTGCGTATGAAATGATGAGGGTATCAAATGATTTAGATAAAGAAAAATTGGATATCAAATTGGAGAGGAGTAGTATGGAAGAAGTGAATGCTCTCAGATATTTGGGAGTTGACGTGTCAGTGGACGGACGTATGAGGGATGAGGTTAACCACAGAAATGATGAAGGAAAAAAGGTGAATGGTGCACTTGTTTTTTTTTTTTTTAACAAGTCGGCTGTCTCCCACTGAGGCAGGGTGACCCAAAAAGAAAGAAAATCCCCAAAAAGTAAATACTTTCATCATCATTCAACACTTTCACCTCACTCACACATAATCACTGTTTTGCAGAGGTGCTCAGAACACAACAGTTTAGAAGCATATACGTATAAAGATACACAACATATCCCTCCAAACTGCTAATATCCCGAACCCCTCCTATTATTATTATTAGTACATACGTCTTCTTATAATACTCTTGCTTACCATTTGGAATTTTTATTCATACATAAAATAGAAGATTTACTGTTATGCAGGCTACTGCATTATTGTAATAATTGTATACATAACATCAACCCATTCATGACTGCTTATTGGAGTGGCCACTCGGACAGGTATTGGACGATGATGTCATTTGTTTACTCTTGAACATCGACAAAAATCAAACATTTCTGCCACTTTGAGCTCAATTTCAAGGTAATTTTCGTTGTGAAAGCAATCAAAATCATATATATTTCTGTAATATATCTTCCATTCTATCAAATAAGACCAAAAAAACGAGAATACAATCATAAAAATCATATGAAAATATACCGCTAAGGGCCGGCTAATGGCTGACAAGTGAACTCCGTTATTTACAGTCATATTTCTTTAAACTTTGGTGTACGTTAAGAAGCACTTTTCCATCATACATTGCTCAAGTTTCAATAAGATAGTCCAACAAGCAAATGAGATCCAATTCCCTAGATCAAGAGCAAGAGCCCCTCACCCTTGAGGCCCACTTGCATCTGGAAAGTTCGCTTGCTTATGTAAGCAAAAAATCAACTGAGCGGCTACTCGTATCTGGAAAAACGAGCATATGGATGCGCTCATTAGTGGAGGTTCCACTGTATACTAGAAATGTTATAAATGGTGCAAAGGTGATATTAAAAATACATCTAAAGATGGTTGATGCAAACCCACTACCAGTATAGTATGCTCCTTGCTTAACGACCAATTTGCTTACTGACCAATTCGCTTACCGACCTACTCTTTGGAACCCAACCCCATTGTTAAGTGAGGAGAGGCTGCACGTAATTCATATTTTTTAAAAATTTACGTTAGGTTTTGAGAGACTTAAAAAAGGGGTCCAGTAGCTCTGATGCAGTCAATGGTCTAGATCAAACTGGAAACAAAACCAATAACAAAAACATAAATAATACTGAAACCCTCAAAATATTTTTTTTTCAATAGGTCGGCTGTCTCCCACCCAGGTAGGTGACCCCCCAAAAAAGGTGGTGGTGGTAGTAGTAGTAGTAGTAGTAGTACTAGTCATAGTAGCTGTTGTAGTAGTTATAGTAGTAGTCACAGTAGTAGTATTCATAGTAGTAGTGGTTGTGGTGGTAGTAATATTAGTGGTGGTGGTGGTAGTAATAGTAGTGGTGGTGGTAGTAATAGTAGTGGTGGTGGTAGCAGTAGTGGCAGTGGTGGTAATAGTAGTGGTGGTGGTAATAGTAGTGGTGGTGGTAGTAGTAGTAGCGGTGGTGGTAGTAGAAATACATGTAGTGGTAGTAGAAATAGCAGTAGTAGAAATAGTGGTAGTAAAAAGAGTGGTAGTAGTAATAGTGGTAGTAGTAATAGTGGTAGTAGTATAGTGGTGGTAATAGTATAGTGGTAGTAGTAATAGTGGTAGTAGTATAGTGGTGGTAGTAGTATAGTGGTGGTAGTAGTATAGTGGTAGTAGTAGTAATAGTGGTAGTAGTATAGTGGTGGTAATAGTATAGTGGTAGTAGTAGTAATAGTGGTAGTAGTAGTAATAGTGGTAGCAGTAGTATTAGTGGTGGTAGTAATAATAGTGGCAGTAGTAGTAATAGTAGTAGCAGTATTAAGGGAAGCAGTAGTAGTGGCACAACAATAAACAACAGGGAATGTTTTTTTTTTTCTGGGTCAAGCTACTATGATGACACACAACCACTGGGTTAAAAAAAATGAATAAAGTGAAAAGATTTACAAAACATTGATTAGTAATGATGAAGGGAATTAACCAAAGTTGCAGCTGAGTTGTACAAGTGTTGCACTGTTAAACAGACTGAAAGTGGCACAAAGAAATTACTGAATATTATCTAGTGTTAACTCTTCCTTACTCCTACAAAATGTTATACTTCCCTGCCCAATGCATGAAATCAAAGTTCCCCCATCTTTGTCAACATTTAACGGTTCGTCAAAATATTCCCTCTTTCTTCCCTAAATACTTGGCCTATACTCAAGTATGTACAGTATTTATATATTAAACACTGTACTGTATAACTGACCTATATAATTATAAAAATTAACCTAAGACTCCTTTTAGAGCTGTCTGGTTGAAAAAATGTTAAAATTGCACTATCAAAACATCTCACTCATAAAATACACAGGCAAAACTGTTGAAAGTGTTCTCTTGCTGCCCCAGTTGATGCACGGTGCTGTTAATATGCTTGGTGAAACACAGAGTTTCAGTGTCTCGGTACACTAGAGACAAACTGTTGCATCGTGGGGTCACAGTCAACAACTGGTGAGAGGGAAAAAAAAATTTTTAATTAGTGTGCACCAATAAAGATGAGGATCCAAATAAATGATATCCTGTCTATAAAAAAAAAAATGTTTTCAGACATTTGGAAGTTGACGTGTCAGCGGATGGATTTATGAAGGATGAGGTTAATCATAGAATTGATGAAGGAAAAAAGGTGAGTGGTGCATTGAGGTATATTTCTTCTTAACTTTCAACAAACCGGCCGTATCCCACCAAGGCAGGGTGGACCAAAATGAAAAACAAAAGTTTCTCCTTTTACATTTAGTAATATATACAGGAGAAGGGGTTACTAGCCCCTTGCTCCCGGCATTTTAGTCGCCTCTTACAACACGCATGGCTTACGGAGGAAGAATTCTGTTCCACTTCCCCATGGAGATAAGAGGAAATAAACAAGAATAAGAACTAGAAAGAAAATAGAAGAAAACCCAGAGGGGTGTGTAATATATGTGCTTGTACATGTATGTGCAGTGTGACCTAAGTGTAAGTAGAAGTAGCAAGAGGTACCTGAAAGTTTGCATGTTCATGAGACAGAAAAAAGGACACCAGCAATCCTACCATCATGTAAAACAATTACAGGCTTTCGTTTTACACTCATTTGGCAGGATGGTAGTACCTCCCTGGGCGGTTGCTGTCTACCAACTTACTACCTAGATTGAGGTATATGTGGAGGCAAAAAATGTTATCTATGGAGGCAAAGAAGGGACTGTATGAAAGTACAGTACCAACACTCTTATATGGATGTGAAGCTTGGGTTGTAAATGCTGCAGCGAGGAGGCGGTTGGAGGCAGTGGAGATGTCCTGTCTAAGGGCAATGTGTGGTGTAAATATTATGCAGAAAATTCGGAGTGTGGAAATTAGGAGAAGGTGTAGAGTTAATAAAAGTATTAGTCAGAGGGCTGAAGAGGGTTTGTTGAGGTGGTTTGGTCATTTAGAGAATGGATCAAAGTAGAATGACACGGAGAGTGTATAAATCTGTAGGGGAAGGAAGGCGGGGTAGGGGTCGTCCTCGAAAAGGTTGGAGGGAGAGGGTAAAGGAGGCGTTGTGGGAGAGGGGTTTGGGCTTCCAGCAAGCGATGCGTGAGCGTGTTAGATAGAAGTGAATGGAGACAAATGGTATTTGGGACCTGACGAGCTGTTGGAGTGTGAGCAGGGTAATATTTAGTGAAGGGATTCAGGGAAACCGGTTATTTTATATAACCGGACTTGAGTCCTGGAAATGGGAAGTACAATGCCTGCACTCTAAAGGAGGGGTTTGGGATATTGGCAGTTTGGAGGGATATATTGTGTATTTTTTATACGTATATACTTCTAAACTGTTGTATTCTGGGCACCTCTGCAAAAACAGTGATTATGTGTGAGTGAGGTGAAAGTGTTGAATGATGATGAAAGTATTTTCCTTTTGGGGATTTTCTTTCTTTTTGGGTCACCCTGCCTCGGTGGGAGACAGCCGACTTGTTGAAAAAAAAAAAAAAAATATCATTAGTTAAAAAGCAAATAATGAAGAGAGAGTATTTACAAAACATAACCTAAAGCAATATAATTCTATCACAAGTGGGCCCTGCTTTACAGCTCTTTGCTTTACAGTACACTGGTACCCAAAGTTTCGTACAGCTCCCAACTCGAACAATTATGTAAGTGTATTCTTATGTGTCCTAGGTAGTAGGTTGGTAGACAGCAACCACCCAGGGAGGTACTACTGTCCTGCCAAGTGAGTGTAAAACGAAAGCCTGTAATTGTTTTACATGATGGTAGGATTGCTGGTGTCTTTTGTCTGTCTCATAAATATGCAAGATTTCAGGTACGTCTTGCTACTTCTACTTACACTTAGGTCACACTACACATACATGTTCAAGCATATATATATACACACACCCCTCTGGGTTTTCTTCTATTTTTCTTCCTAGTTCTTGTTCTTGTTTATTTCCTCTTATCTCCATAGGGAAGTGGAACAGAATTCTTCCTCCGTAAGCCATGCGTGTTGTAAGAGGCGACTAAAATGCTGGGAGCAAGGGGCTAGTAACCCCTTCTCCCGTATAAATTACTAAATTTAAAAAGAGAAACTTTCGTTTTTCTTTTTGGGCCACCCTGCCTTGGTGGGACACAGCCGGTTTGTTGAAAAAAAAAATTATTATGTGTATTTTTGGGGATCTGAAATGGACTAATCTAATTTACATTATTACTTATGGGAACAAATTCGTTCGGTAACGGCACTCGAACAGCCTTCTGGAACGAATTATGGCCGATACTCTGGGTACTACTGTATTTTGCTAATGGAGGGAGGGGGTAAGAGGTTTTGTGTGCAAGGGACCTGGACATGCAGCAGGCATGTGTGAGCATGTTAGAGAGGAGTGAATGGAAATAAATGCTTTTTGGGACCTGACAAGCTGTTGGAGTGTGAGCAGGGTAATATTTTGTGGAGGGATTCAGGGAAACCAGTTAGCCGGACTTGAGTCCTGGAGATGGAAAGTACAATGCCTGCACTTTAAAGGAGTTTGAGATACTGGCAATTTGAGTGACATCTAAACCATCATATCTGGGCACTTCTGCAAAGACAGTGATTGTGTATGAATGATGGTGACAGTATTTCTTTCTTTTTCAGGTCACACTGCCTTAATGGGACATGGCCAGAGTGTTAAAAAATTTTTTTTTACACAAGTCATAGAAATTCATCATTTACAGTACCTCTTCATCCTCGTCTTTGACAATATATGAAATAAATCCACCATGTTCTTGAGACCACTTCTCTGAGACATTGATGAAAAGATTGGCGTCAAGGGCTGACTTTTTCTCTATGCAGTCATCTCGGAGGAGAGTGTAACAACCGTGACTCCAGCGTCGCGCATCAATGCTGACCCGGGGAGAAGATTCTGCAACACAAACATCATATATTTACATCACAGAATTCTTTCTCCATAGGGCATGTGTGTCGTAGGAGGCAACTAAAATGCCGGGAGCAAGGGGCTAGTAACCCCTTCTCCTGTATACATTGCTAAATTTAAAAAGAAATATTTTCGATTTTATTTTTTAAGTCACCCTGCCTTGGCGGGATATGGCCGGTTTGATGAAAAAAGGGAAAACAGAAGTGTAAACATTAAAAACTATTTACAGAACATAGTAAAACTAAAATCTAAAATGCCGGGAACAATGGGCTAGTAACCCCTTTTCCTGTAAAGATTACTAAAAAGAATAAGAAGAAGAAAATTGTCAAAGTGGGAAGTCTGAATGTGCGTGGATGTTGTGCAAATGATAAGAAAGAGATGATTGTGGATGTTATGAATGAGAAGAAACTGGATGTCCTGGCTTTAAGTGAAACAAAGCTGAAGGGGGTGGGAGAGTTTCAATGGAGAGGAATAAATAGGATTAGGTCAGGGGTTTCAAATAGAGTTAAAGCTAAAGAAGGAGTAGCAATAATGTTGAAGGATAAGCTATGGCAGGAAAAGAGGGACTACAAATGTATAAATTCAAGGATTATGTGAAGTAAAATAAAGATTGGATGTGAAAAGTGGGTTATAGTAAGCGTGTATGCACCTGGAGAAGAGAGAAGTGTAGAGGAGAGAGAGAGATTTTGGGAAATGTTGAGTGAATGCGTGGGGAGTTTTGAATCAAGTGTGAGAGTAATGGTGGTTGGGGATTTCAATGCTAAAGTGAGTAAAAATGTTATGGAGGGAGTAGTAGGTAAATTTGGGGTGCCAGGGGTAAATGTAAATGGGGAGCCTTTAATTGAGCTATGTGTAGAAAGAAATTTGGTAATAAGTAATACATATTTTATGAAAAAGAGGATAAATAAATATACAAAGCATGATGTAGCACGTAATGAAAGTAGTTTGTTAGATTATGTATTGGTGGATAAAAGGTTGATGGGTAGGCTCCAGGATGTACATGTTTATAGAGGGGCAACTGATATATCGGATCATTATTTAGTTGTAGCTACAGTTAGAGTAAGAGGTAGATGGGAAAAGAGGAAGGTGGCAACAACAAGTAAGAGGGAGGTGAAAGTGTATGAACTAAGGGAGGAGGAAGTTCGGGCGAGATATAAGCGACTATTGGCAGAAAGGTGGGCTAGTGCAAAGATGAGTAGTGGGGGGGTTGAAGAGGGTTGGAATAGTTTTAAAAATGCAGTATTAGAATGTGGGGCAGAAGTTTGTGGTTATAGGAGGGTGGGGGCAGGAGGAAAGAGGAGTGATTGGTGGAATGATGAAGTAAAGGGTGTGATAAAAGAGAAAAAGGTAGCTTACGAGAGGTTTTTACAAAGCAGAAGTGTTATAAGAAGAGCAGAGTATATGGAGAGTAAAAGAAAGGTGAAGAGAGTGGTGAGAGAGTGCAAAAGGAGAGCAGATGAAAGAGTGGGAGAGGCACTGTCAAGAAATTTTAATGAAAATAAGAAAAAATTTTGGAGTGAGTTAAACAAGTTAAGAAAGCCTAGGAAAGTATGATTTGCAGTTAAAAACAAGTAGGGGAGTTAGTAGATGGGGAGAGGGAGGTATTAGGTAGATGGCGAGAATATTTTGAGGAACTTTTAAATGTTGAGGAAGAAAGGGAGGCTGTAATTTCATGCACTGGCCAGGGAGGTATACCATCTTTTAGGAGTGAAGAAGAGCAGAATGTAAGTGTGGTGGAGGTACGTGAGGCATTACATAGAATGAAAGGGGGTAAAGCAGCTGGAACTGATGGGATCATGACAGAAATGTTAAAACCAGGGGGGGGGATATAGTGTTGGAGTGGTTGGTACTTTTGTTTAATAAATGTATGAAAGAGGGGAAGGTACCTAGGGATTGGCAGAGAGCATGTATAGTCCCTTTATATAAAGGGAAAGGGGACAAAAGAGATTGTAAAAATTATAGAGGAATAAGTTTACTGAGTATACCAGGAAAAGTATACGGTAGGGTTATAATTGAAAGAATTAGAGGCAAGACAGAATGTAGGATTGCGGATGAGCAGGGAGGCTTCAGAGTGGGTAGGGGATGTGTAGATCAAGTGTTTACATTGAAGCATATATGTGAACAGTATTTAGATAAAGGTAGGGAAGTTTTTATTGCATTTATAGATTTAGAAAAGGCATATGATAGAGTGGATAGAGGAGCAATGTGGCAGATGTTGCAAGTATATGGAATAGGTGGTAAGTTACTAAATGCTGTAAAGAGCTTTTATGAGGATAGTGAGGCTCAGGTTAGGGTGTGTAGAAGAGAGGGAGAATACTTCCCGGTAAAAGTAGGTCTTAGACAGGGATGTGTAATGTCACCATGGTTGTTTAATATATTTATAGATGGGGTTGTAAAAGAAGTAAATGCTAGGGTGTTCGGGAGAGGGGTGGGATTAAATTATGGGGAATCAAATCCAAAATGGGAATTGACACAGTTACTTTTTGCTGATGATACTGTGCTTATGGGAGATTCTAAAGAAAAATTGCAAAGGTTAGTGGATGAGTTTGAGAATGTTTGTAAAGGTAGAAAGTTGAAAGTGAACATAGAAAAGAGTAAGGTGATGAGGGTATCAAATGATTTAGATAAAGAAAAATTGGATATCAAATTGGGGAGGAGGAGTATGGAAGAAGTGAATGTTTTCAGATACTTGGGAGTTGACGTGTCGGCAGATGGATTTATGAAGGATGAGGTTAATCATAAAATTGATGAGGGAAAAAAGGTGAGTGGTGCGTTGAGGTATATGTGGAGTCAAAAAACGTTATCTATGGAGGCAAAGAAGGGAATGTATGAAAGTATAGTAGTACCAACACTCTTATATGGATGTGAAGCTTGGGTGGTAAATGCAGCAGCGAGGAGATGGTTGGAGGCGGTGGAGATGTCCTGTCTAAGGGCAATGTGTGGTGTAAATATTATGCAGAAAATTCGGAGTGTAGAAATTAGGAGAAGGTGTGGAGTTAATAAAAGCATTAGTCAGAGGGCAGAAGAGGGGTTGTTGAGGTGGTTTGGTCATTTAGAGAGAATGGATCAAAGTAGAATGACATGGAAAGCATATAAATCTATAGGGGAAGGAAGGAGGGGTAGGGGTCGTCCTCGAAAGGGTTGGAAAGAGGGGGTAAAGGAGGTTTTGTGGGCTAGGGGCTTGGACTTCCAGCAAGCGTGCATGAGCGTGTTAGATAGGAGTGAATGGAGACAAATGATACTTGGGACCTGACGATCTGTTGGAGTGTGAGCAGGGTAATGTTTAGTGAAGGGATTCAGGGAAACCGGTTATTTTCATATAGTCGGACTTGAGTCCTGGAAATGGGAAGTACAATGCCTGCACTTTAAAGGAGGGGTTTGGGATATTGGCAGTTTGGAGGGATATGTTGTGTATCTTTATATGTGTTGTTAGGTAAGACACACATGCAACAGTTAGGTATCTTTATTTCGAAACGTTTCGCCTACACAGTAGGCTTCTTCAGTCGAGTACAGAAAAGTTGATAGAAGCAGAAGAGACTTGAAGACTATGTAATCAGTCCATCACCCTTAAAGTTTTGAGGTGGTCAGTCCCTCAGTCTGGAGAAGAGCATTGTCTCATAGTCTGAAACAATATGGAGTTGAAGTGACAGGATGGAGCCTTACATAGCGCCAGGAGGTGAGACGTAGGTCACTAGTAGAAGTAAGAACGCAGATGTTGGGAGGTCAGGTCCCTCTCAAATCCAGCCGTTCTCACTAGTAGAGGTTGTCGAAGTTGATTGCAGGTCTGTACCAAGATACCCTAGTGTTGCAGTGTCTGACAGATTTATATGTGTATGCTTCTAAACTGTTGTATTCTGAGCACCTCTGCAAAAGCAGTGATAATGTGTGAGTGTGGTGAAAGTGTTGAATGATGATGAAAGTATTTTCTTTTTGGGGATTTTCTTTCTTTTTTGGGTCACCCTGCCTCGGTGGGAGACGGCCGACTTGTTGAAAAAAAAAAAAAAAAAAAAAGAAAGTAAAACTGACAAGGTTCAGTCTATATATATTATGATAAATAACTCACTTGTGCAACAACTGGGTATCTTCATCCTAGAAATGTTTCGCTAGCCAGTGACTTCTTCAGTCCAGTGCTAAGAATGGTGGAAGATGAGGAGGGATGTAAGGTATCAGTCTATTGATGGACTGAATACACTGACTCCAGGCTGAGGGACTGATTACTTCAAACTCCTCCTCTTCTACCACCTTTCTCTGCACTGGACTGAAGAAACCACTGACTGGCAAAACATTTCCAGAATAAAGATACACAACTGTTGCACAAATGCCTCATTTATCAACTAGTTAATTTTGTAAACCAATTATTCAAACTATGTAGATTATCAATGAATGTTACGTAAGTTACATCACTGTTCCAATTAATATGCACACTAATGCATGAAATAAAACCCTGCTAAAATGTTTTCCAATTTGGTAAGACTGTTGCTCTTTTTGGTGTCCCTCTTTTGGGTGTCCCTCTATTAGGTGTCCCTTTTTTAGGTGTCCCTCTTTTAGGTGTCCCTCTTTTAGGTGTCCTTCATCTTGGTGTCCCTCTTCTTGGAAGAATTCTTCTTCCGTAAGCCATGTGTGTCATAAGAGGCGACTAAAATGCCAGGAGCAAGGGGCTAGTAACCCCTTCTCTTGTATATATTACTAAATGTAAAAGGAGAAACTTTCGTTTTTCCTTTCGGGCCACCCCGCCTCGGTGGGATACGGCCGGTGTGTTGAAAGAAATAAAGTAAACATATTATCAGCTGCTTCAGGAGAATTCAATATTGGAAAACTTTTCCACTCACTGGTAATTTTCACTCATTGGTGGGGGACAGGAACCTAACAGCCATAAAAATGTGACCCTCCTGTACTATCGTCATTACTCGCCTGTTTTTTAACAGTTTCTTTCCCATTTAGGAAGTTAAGTCTGAGACAAGGGACGATGATCTGGGGAAAATTAACAGAAGGTGGCCCCTGGCCTGGTGGCAAAAAGCTCTGGCTTCACACGGTGAGGGTCCAAGTTCAATTCCCGGCAAGGGTGGAAACATTGGGCACATTTCCTTAGGTTGACCATGTTTACCTATCAGTAATAATGGGTACTGATGTGGGTCGCATCCTGGGACAAAACTGAGCTAATTTGCAGCAAATCCTCTGCATAACAAATGGCTTTCTACATAGAAGTAGTATGCCACTGATGTCAGCTATGGCCTGTATACCTTGTACATGTGTTTGTAGAAATAAAGATATTATTATTATGCTGAATAGTCATACAAATCAGTAATTTTTTGAAACTAACCTTTAACATTTTGTTCACCCATGTCAGAGCCATCAGGGTCAGAGTCTTCCGGAGCTAATTTGTGTAGTTTGATTCCTGTCAGCTGGGAGATTATTAAGAACAGAGCCTCCGATTTCAAGAAATTCCGGCAGTCAGCGATAATATCAGGAGCCTCATCAAACTTTAGAACCTGAAACAAAAATTGAACAAGCACTGAGCCCATTATGTAGTCCTTGTGATTAGTTAATGGACCAAGTCAGACCCAAAGTTATCCTAAGTTTCCTTTTTCTATTTTTTATTTATTAACACCTCGGCCGTTTTCCACCAAGGCAGGGTGGCCCGAAAAAGAAAAACTTTCATCATCATTCACTCCATTACTGTCTTGCCAGAGGCATACTTATACTACAGTTATAAAACTGCAACATTAACACCCCTCCTTCAGAGTGCAGACACTGTACTTCCCATCTCCAGGACTCAAGTCCGGCCTGCCGGTTTCCCTGAACCCCTTCATAAATGTTACTTTGCTCACACTCCAACAGTATGTCCTTTCTTCTATGTGTGGTTTATCTCCATGGGAAAGTGGAAAAGAATTCTTCCTCCATAAGCCATGCGTGGTGTAAGAGGCAACTAAAATGCTTGGAGCAGAGGGCTAGTAACCCCTCCTCCTGTGTACCTTACTAAATTTTAAAAGAGAATCTTTCGTTTTTCTTTTTAAGTCACCCTTCCTTGGTGGGATACGGCCGGTTTGTTGAAAAAAAGAAAAAAGAAATTGTAATTTTGCAATTCCTGCACAGTTAATATAAGTTCAATGTGTCTGGTAGATCGTGTATCGAAGTTCAACCTTTCAGCCCTTTAGTACGTTGAAAAAGTGCTCTTGAACAAGTGTAGAGAACATAAGAATAAAGGAGCACTACAATAGGCCTGTATAAATTAAACACAAGTGCAGAATTGATGAGGGAAAAAGAGTGAGTGGTGCACTTAGGAGTCTGTGGAGACAGAGAACTTTGTCCTTGGAGGCAAAGAGGGGAATGTATGAGAGTATAGTTTTACCAACGCTCTTATATGGGTGTGAAGCATGGGTGATGAATGTTGCAGCGAGGAGAAGGCTGGAGGCAGTGGAGATGTCATGTCTGAGGGCAATGTGTGGTGTGAATATAATGCAGAGAATTCGTAGTTTGGAAGTTAGGAGGAGGTGCGGGATTACCAAAACTGTTGTCCAGAGGCTGAGGAAGGGTTGTTGAGGTGGTTCGGACATGTAGAGAGAATGGAGCGAAACAGAATAACTTCAAGAGTGTATCAGTCTGTAGTGGAAGGAAGGCGGGGTAGGGGTCGGCCTAGGAAGGGTTGGAGGGAGGGGGTAAAGGAGGTTTTGTGTGCGAGGGGCTTGGACTTCCAGCAGGCATGCGTGAGCGTGTTTGATAGGAGTGAATGGAGACAAATGGTTTTTAATACTTGACGTGCTGTTGGAGTGTGAGCAAAGTAACATTTATGAAGGGATTCAGGGAAACCGGCATGCCGGACTTGAGTCCTGGAGATGGGAAGTACAGTGCCTGCACTCTGAAGGAGGGGTGTTAATGTTGCAGTTTAAAAACTGTAGTGTAAAGCACCCTTCTGGCAAGACAGTGATGGAGTGAATGATGGTGAAAGTTTTTCTTTTTCGGGCCACCCTGCCTTGGTGGGAATCGGCCAGTGTGATAATAAAAAAAAAAGTGCAGCATTTGGAAACTTTTGTTTGGAAAAGTTTTACTCACCAAGAACTTTTTCATCAGTTTGGTTGGACTGAAAAAGCTTCTGGGCTAAATGCATCTTAACAAAAAAAATTACATATATTGTACATGTTTAATTTATACATGTGTCAGTATCATGAAGCTTGAATGACATGTGCAATAGGCCTACTGGCCTATACCATGCAGGTCCTTCACAAACTCAGTCCTTCTCACTCACATATTTGTCCAAACTACCCATGATGTAAGCTTCAATGATTCTACTTTGCATATCATTCTGCTCATCTACAACTCTATTACTAAGTTCTAACTTCCCTTTATTCTTTCTAATTCTGTATTCATCAAACCTGAATCCAGTGTTTTCAGTTCATAAATCTTATCAGTGAATTCTCAACAAGAACATTCTTACCATCCTTGTGTTCTCAATTATCAAAACACTTTTATTAACATGCTGGCTGTCTCCCACTGAGATAGGGTGACCCATAAAAGAAATACTTTCACCATCATTCACACCATCACTGTCTAGCCAGGCGCGATTATATTATAATCATAGGGGAGTGCTAAACCCATAGGGATTATATAGCACCTGTAGGGGGGGGGAGGAAGGTATTCAGGCTCAATTCAGGAAACTAGAGCACAGATCCAATTCCCAAGATCAAAAGCCCCTCACCAGCATCAAGGAACCTCCCTTGAGAGGCCAGAGACAAGTAGACATGACAGTTCATATTACCCTCCAAATGGCAAATATCCTAAACCCCTTCTTCGGAGTCCAGGCACAGTACTTCCCACCTCCAGGAGTCAAGCCCAGTTAACTGGTTTTCCTTGAATCCCTTCACAAAATGCTACCTTGTCAGCCAACAATACAAAGAATTAATTGCACAGATGCATAAGGCAACTTTGGGCTCAAATAAGAGACACGTGTAGCAATTGGAAATCGCATTTAGACAGTTTTACGCGCATAGAAATATTTCAAATCTGACAGATCATATCTGGTGGTATCAAATTTGAAGACTTCCTGGTCACAGACCGGGCCGCGGGGGCGTTGACCCCCGGAACTGTCTCCAGGTAAACTCCAGGTAATAGGCAAAATGTTGGCTAAATAGTTTTTAAATGATGGGAAGTACAGTACCTGCAATGATGGGTGGGGATATTAGCTGTTTACACTGATATTTGAACTGTCGTACCTGACTGCCTCTGGCAAAACAGATTTCAAAAGTATTTTATAAAATAAAGAATCAATAGATAGGGTATATTTGGGCAGGTTTTTATATCTATAGATACTTTCATTTTTTTATTTTTTATTATCACACTGGCCGATTCCCACCAAGGCAGGGTGGCCCACCAAGGCAGGGTGGCCCACCAAGGCAGGGTGGCCCGAAAAAGAAAAACTTTCACCATCATTCACTCCATCACTGTCTTGCCAGAAGGGTGCCTTACACTACAGTTTTTAAACTGCAACATTAACACCCCTCCTTCATCTATATTTATATTTCATTTATATTTATATTTTGCCCGGCGATTTTTTTCTCCATGGGGAAGTGGAACAGAATTCTTCCTCCGTAAGCCATGCGTGTTGTAAGAGGTGACTGAAATGCCGGGAGCAAGGGGCTAGTAACCCCTTCTCCTATATATACAGTGGACCCCCGCATAACGATCACCTCCCAATGCGACCAATTATGTAAGTGTATTTATGTAAGTGCGTTTGTACGTGTATGTTTGGGGGTCTGAAATGGACTAATCTACTTCACAATATTCCTTATGGGAAAAAATTCGGTCAGTACTGGCACCTGAACATACTACTGGAATGAAAAAAGTTCGTTAACCGGGGGTCCACTGTATTACTAAATTTAAAAGGAGCAACTTTCATTTCTCCTTCTGGGCCACATCGCCTCAGTGGGATACAGCTGGTGTGTTGAAAGAAGAAGAATGTCTACAGATGTCTCCAAAAACATTTTCAAGTGAGTTTCAACCTTGTTCCTCCTTGAAATACTCCTGGCCCACAGAATACATTATGAGAGCCTAAAGTTCAGTACGGTACTGCATATAGTACAATTGATTTTTTTTTTTGGAGGGGGGGGGGAGCCTTAATGGCAATCTCCCACCACAGCATGGTAACAGACACGAGAATTTGATTAAGAACTAAATCAAGAAGATTACTGGGTATAGTTGCATCAGTGGCAGTGAGTAAGATGCAAGATTTACTAAATAACAAAAAAAGGCACAATACCGTGACTGGAACGATACACAAATAACCCGCACATAGAAGAGAGGAGCTTAAGACGATGTTTCGGTCCGACTTTGACCATTACAAAGTCACACTAACCAGAAGTGGAGCAGGACGGCTATATATAGACAGGAAGAGGTAGTGGTGTTAGTAGTAGTAATAGTGGTGGTAGTAGTAGTAATAGTGGTGGTAGTAGTAGTAATAGTGGTGGTAGTAGTAGTAATAGTGGTGGTAGTAGTAGTGGTAGTAGTAATAGTAGTGGTAGTGGTGGTAGTGGGGAATTAAGGAGGAGGAGTCACACCCTTGGTGGGAAGGGCAAAGTGTTAATAATAAAAAAAAAAGTATAATTCAAGTCATGAGCAGAAGCCTCCTCAAGTTACTATCCTAAAACTGGCACGGATAAAATGAAATATATATTGTACATAAACTGTCAAACTTCCTAGAAACAAAGTGTGGAGTATACAGTAGGCATTGTATACGTGCATACGTAACAGATCACACAGAAAATGAGACCTTTCACCATAAACTATTTCTTTGGGAATAAAATATTGAAATACGTATGGGTTCCTCAATTAAACTACTATTTCACAGGATTACTTTTCTTAATGCACTTCTTAAGTGCCCTAAGCACTGAAAAGTTTAGCATATGGAGGACAGAAGAGTTGATACTCTCCCACACCTGCTTACTGACCTCTAGATTTTGGGGTTAAAGGACACCTTCATGCTGCAAAGCTTATTTTTAGTAAAGTTCTAAATGTTCTCTACCGAATTTAAGTTCCTTGAGTTTCCAGGTCAGTCATTAAAGTATGGTAAATCAGGTTTACAGGTTAGACAGACTTGAGTCCTGGAGGTGGGAAGTACAGTACTCTAAAGGAGGGATTTGAGATATATGCTGTTTAGAGGGATATCTAAGACAGTGATAGTGTGAATGATGGTGAAAGTGTTCCTTTTCGGGTTACCCTACCTCAGTGGGAGACAGCCAGCATGTTAAAAATCAAATCAAATTAATTTAGCTAATACTTTGTCTTTGGTAGTACGGTAAGAAGTACCATTTTCCATACAAAAGTTGCCCTGGCATTTCTCAGACTGTCAGACAAATAGCCTTATATAAACTTACTCATGCATGTGCATATTTATATCAGCTACTGTAGTTTGTAAACCATAAATTCCCTTCAAATATATATTTAAATTATTGAATTATACCTCAAAGAGCTGCTTGTTGGCAGGTCCTGTCTTCACCCAGTTTAAACTTTTATTCCTCAGTGCCTCTGCAAGTTCTCTGTATTTATCCTCTGAAAGGAATGACTCGAGTTCAATCTGAGGGTCTTTACGAAATTTGTGGCGTATTTCTTTCTGGATATTCATATCCAGGTAAGTTGGGTTGATCCAGGAGTATAGCTCTTCTTCCTGCGAAATAAAAGCTTATTATTTTGTCCTTTTTATATGGAAACGGGTCTAGGAATCATTTTATTTTTTAATGCATCATCCATTTCCCACCAAGGCAGGGTGTCCCAAAAAAGAAATAATTTCACCATCATTCACTCCATCACTGTCTTGCCAGAGGTGTGCCAATACTACAGTTCATAAGTAACAACTATCGGCACATCTCTGAAAAGACAGTAATGGAGTGAATGATGGTGATAGTATTTTTTTTTTTTTTGGTCACCCTGCCTCAATGGGAGATGGCCAGAGTGTAAAAAAAAAAAAGTATCAGACCCATAAGCCTTACCACTGAGAAAGATTACAAAAGTTAAGGAAAAAACAACAGACTGAATAAAAGAATGAGCTAAGAATAGCTTTAATAAAAGAATGCAAAACCTAGGCCACACGTCACTAGAGGGAAGAATAAGAGACACCACAACATACTATAATAATAATAATAATAATGATAATTAATAATAATTTTTAATTTCAGCATAACACAATGTTTATACAGAGATGGGCGACATTTAGCTGTACATGCAGAAAGCCCATAATTATGCAATGCATTTTGGGCAAACTTAAGCCTAACTTAAGACTAAAATGGCAATTAGTAACTAACTGCTTTTATATACAGTCTCTAAGCATTCATAAACAATAAATTTGAGAATTACAAGAAGAACAAGCAGTCAACTGTTACCTCTGATGCATAAATATACCTAGTTGGATGACTCTTACTGTAGCCAGCTGGCCCAGTGGTTGACACACTGGCCTGGAGTTTTACAATTCACTTGCCATGGGTTCTAACCCCACCCATACCACAGTTTGTTTGCAATTGTGTCATTACTATTTAACAAACTATTTGTAAATACACAAATAACCCGCACATAAAAGAGAGAAGCTTACGATGACGTTTCGGTCTGACTTGGACCATTTACAAAGTCAGTGTGACTTTGTAAATGGTCCAAGTCAGACCGAAACGTCATCGTAAGCTTCTCTCTTTTATGTGCGGGTTATTTGTGTATCGTTCCAGTTACAGTATTGTGCCTTTTTTTGTTATTTGTAAATACTTATTAATGTTTTGCACAAGTCTCTCTCCATACTAGCACTTCTGATTCTAAGTAATCTTTACATCTAGTAAGAATATATAAAGGCAACTTCATCATGTCAAACTTCATGCTACCTCGCTTTCACTCTCGACTATCTAACACCCCTAGCGCTCATAATCAGTATAATAGTCATTCAATGTAATGGATCCTGACATAACACACTCTAAAAATTATGGACAAAATCCATACTTTTAACTTATTTATTTTCATTGTTTATTGCAGTACAGTAGAACTCCAGTATCCACGGATTCAGTTTTAGTTATCCATGGATTACCCTGGCTCGAAAATAACCCTTAATTTTGTTTAATAATGCACCAAAGCACATAAGCAGTGATGGTAGTGGTTCTTCAAAGCCTAAGAGAAGCTGTGAAATGCTTCCCATGAACATATTGTGAGTAATTTCTCAATTAAACTTTATCATAAGTATGTAAACAAAATAACGACTCATGTATACTGTGTATCTGCAAACTGTGTGTTACATACTACTGTACATTAGAAATAAACTAGACTAATGAATTTTATTCATATATTTTTAACATTATTCCAATAAAATAGATCTCTCCCCTTCCCCATTATTCTGAAGCATGTCAGAAAATGCCTCCAACTACTCTGAATTGTTGAATTATGCAATAACAATATAGATTTTTATGGACTTTTTTTTATTTTATTATTATTTTTTTATTATCACACTGGCCGATTCCCACCAAGGCAGGGTGGCCCGAAAAAGAAAAACTTTCACCATCATTCACTCCATCACTGTCTTGCCAGAAGGGTGCTTTACACTACAGTTTTTAAACTGCAACATTAACACCCCTCCTTCAGAGTGCAGGCACTGTACTTCCCATCTCCAGGACTCAAGTCCGGCCTGCCGGTTTCCCTGAATCCCTTCATAAATGTTACTTTGCTCACACTCCAACAGCACGTCAAGTATTAAAAACCATTTGTCTCCATTCACTCCTATCAAACACGCTCATGCATGCCTCCTGGAAGTCCAAGCCCCTCGCACACAAAACCTCCTTTACCCCCTCCCTCCAACCTTTCCTAGGCCGACCCCTACCCCGCCTTCCTTCCACTACAGACTGATACACTCTTGAAGTCATTCTGTTTCGCTCCATTCTCTCTACAGTCCGAACCACCTCAACAACCCTTCCTCAGCCCTCTGGACAACAGTTTGGTAATCCCCCACCTCCTCCTAACTTCCAAACTACGAATTCTCTGCATTATATTCACACCACACATTGCCCTCAGACATGACATCTCCACTGCCTCCAGCCTTCTCCTCGCTGCAACATTCATCACCCACGCTTCACACCCATATAAGAGCGTTGGTAAAACTATACTCTCATACATTCCCCTCTTTGCCTCCAAGGACAAAGTTCTTTGTCTCCACAGACTCCTAAGTGCACCACTCACTCTTTTTCCCTCATCAATTCTATGATTCACCTCATCTTTCATAGACCCATCCGCTGACACGTCCACTCCCAAATATCTGAATACGTTCACCTCCTCCATACTCTCTCCCTCCAATCTGATATTCAATCTTTCATCACCTAATCTTTTTGTTATCCTCATAACCTTACTCTTTCCTGTATTCACCTTTAATTTCTTCTTTTGCACACCCTACCAAATTCATCCACCAATCTCTGCAACTTCTCTTCAGAATCTCCCAAGAGCACAGTGTCATCAGCAAAGAGCAGCTGTGACAACTCCCACTTTATGTGTGATTCTTTATCTTTTAACTCCACGCCTCTTGCCAAGACCCTCGCATTTACTTCTCTTACAACCCCATCTATAAATATATTAAACAACCACGGTGACATCACACATCCTTGTCTAAGGCCTACTTTTACTGGGAAAAAATTTCCCTCTTTCCTACATACTCTAACTTGAGCCTCACTATCCTCGTAAAAACTCTTCACTGCTTTCAGTAACCTACCTCCTACACCATACACTTGCAACATCTGCCACATTGCCTCCCTATCCACCCTGTCATACGCCTTTTCCAAATCCATAAATGCCACAAAGACCTCTTTAGCCTTATCTAAATACTGTTCACTTATATGTTTCACTGTAAACACTTTTATATATTATTTTTAAAAATAAAGGAAATATTAATAATAGAGAAAAATATGGTAAAACATTATTTTACTGCATCGAGGATTAAATGTACTATTCTTACCTCAATATGTGTAGGAGCTTCTAGGGGTAAACACGGAGCATGGTATTTTGGTGGCCTCTCAATTGGGGGACCATGAAACCAGCCATTAATGGAGAGACGAACTTTATCTTGGGACAACACTTCTGCTACCTATCAAGAAAGTATCTTAAGTAAGAGAAGTGACCTTACAACCTTAAATGTACAGTGTCTAAACTGTCGTATCTATGTGGCTCTGGCAAGACAGTGATAGTATTACGCAGTGTGCTGCAGTAAAAATATTGTATAGAAAATGCTCCATAGTTCTGGGATTGTACTGAAACCGGATGTGTATTATTCCTGGTCAGGCAGTGGCCAGGAGACAGAAGTAGATGAAGTATTTGTGAGTTCAGTATGTGTAGGAAGGCGGTTTGCTGAAGTCATCATGGGTTGGCGTTAGTGTGAGTAGGTGGTTTGGCGAATTGTTTTAGTGTATACTATAGGTAATTCTGTGTGTTTAAGTGCTCTCTTGTTTGTATGTAAGGTCCTAGTATGTAGAGGCCTGTTTAAGTTTTGGAAGAGTACTGTATGGTGTTTTTGTCTGTTGGCAGACAGATTGCCAGAAGGATGCGGGGTGTCATGGAGCCTCCCTGTTTATAAAGGTTTATATTTTGTTCACTCACTAGTAGCAGTGTGCTAGTGAGCTAATGTGAACCGGAGTGTGGTGATGTTGGATGTAGTAGAGTAGGTTGTATACACATTACTATTAATATATATTTTTGCATAAGTGAGTTTTTGTGCCCTTCCTTATAATAATAATTAATATTTCACATTTAATATGTCACTGCCTGCACTTTAAAGGAGGGGTTTGGGATATTGGCAGTTTGGAGGTTAGGTTCTTCTGAACTGTCATATCTGAGTGCCTTCGCAAAGAGTGATTATGTATGAGTGAAGTGAAAGTGTTGAATGATGATGAAAGTATTTTCTTTATGGGGATTTTCTTTCTTTTTGGGTCACCCTGCCTCGGTGGGAGACAGCTGGCGTATTGAAAAAAGAAAAAAAATTTAATATGCTGGTACGAGCTGGCCTAAGAGTGTCTGTTTTTCTTTCAGTGTTAAATAACACTACCCTTAGACAGCTGGTTGAGCAGCCTTTCAGGAGCAAAGACATTTTATTTGAGTTACGAGCACAAAGTGGTAACAACAGTGTAAAGGATGGTGGGGGTATTTCTTGTTCGGGTCACCCTGCCTCTGTGGGAGGTGGTTGGTGCATTAAAAAAAAAAAAAGCGTTTATATATATAGGAGGACCTCACTTTACAGCGTTTCGCTAATAAAGCGGTTTTCACTTATACCCATTCTTCATTTATTCAGACTTCCTACAATAAATATATTCACCACTCATTATAAGATAAAGATAAAAATATTTAAAGTAACGTGTGTACTGTATATGCATTTTTTAGGCCTAGCTCTATTGTTCATTGAATACATGATAATATAAACATGTTACTAGGCTTTTATATGCATTTGAAAGTGAAAAAAACTGTAACCCTTTACAGCAGTAGCTCGAACCCTTAACCTGTTGTATAAGCAGGACCCTGTTGTATGATTATATTTTTATGCTCCATCAGCATTACCCCGAGTTTGTCTTCCCAAAGCACTTGGAATAACTATAATACTTTCCACATAAGAAAGAATTAATGTAAACCAGTCTTTGTAACACAAATATATGACCCTGGAAAATACATTGTTATTTTTTTTTTTTCTTTTTTTACATGCCGGCCGTCTCCCACCAAGGCTGGGTGAAACAAAAAAAAAGGAAACACTTTCACCATCATTCAACACTTCCACTATCATTCACACATAATCACTTAGTTACTGTCTGTCAACAGCTCCTGTCGACAGACACTTGGCCTGGGTAGGGAGAGGGAGGGTGTGTTTGTGTACCTGTTGCACACCCAGACACAACAGTTTAGGTATCACTCCAAACAGCCAATATTTCAAGCCCCTCCTTTAAATTGTAGGCACTGTACTTCCCACCTCCAGGACTCAAGTCTGGTTAACCAGATCAAAACACTGTCCCAATAAAAGGTTGTGAAAAGGGCATCTGTTCTGTTACTGCAAGCATGCCATATACTGTACACCCAACACACACTCACTCTCCTCAATGCACAAGTAGGATTCTTACACCACAGTAAAACTGCGTAACTATATACAATATATAAAAATATCACTATGGTAAATTTAAATGAAAATGAAAAGAACTATAAAACAGACTAGGAAGAAATTGATTGATATCAATTTCTTGCTGACACCAATCAAAAACTGATTGATGTCAGCATTATCATCAAACAGAACTATAAAACAGACTAGGAAGAAATTGATTGATATCAATTTCTTGCTGACACCAATCAAAAACTGACTGATGTCAGCATTATCATCAAACAGTTCTGTACTTTGTTGAGACAGTGGCACTCACCTGGTGAAATGATACTGGAGACACTTCAAAAAAGGCAAAGGAATTCCATTCAGGCTTCAGAGACTCAACAACATCTTTTGGTTGTTTATATTCTGTACAAAATATCAAGTATTAGTAAAGGAATTTAAAAAGTATATGTTGGGGTGTGAGTGAGGTAATATTTTGTGAAGGGATTCAGGTAAACTGGTTAGTCAGACTTGAGTCCTAGAGGTGGGAAATACAATGCCCGCACTCTGAAGGAGGGGTTTGGGATATTTGCTGTTTAGAGAAGCAACTAAACTGCTGTACTTGTACATTTGTGGTGAGACAGTGATAGTGGGAATGATGGTGAAAGTGTTTCTTTTTCAGGTCACCCTGTCTTGGCAGTAGATGGCCAGTGTTAAAAAAATGAAATGTCATTACTAGTACCCTACATGGGCATTGTTTATTATCTAAACAACTGTCTCCCACTAAGGCAGGGAGACCCCATACCCCCCCCCCCCCCAAAAAAAAAAAAAAAAAAATTACCATCATTCATTCAATAGCCATTTTGGCAGAAGTGTGCTGATGTTACAATTCATATTACTCTCCAATTGCAACATCACCCATATTCATTAGCAATACAGCATCATGTATGTGAGGGGTAATCAAGTTTGATTTAAGAAAGAGTAAATTATCTCAAATTCCTGGATCAAGAGTTCTTCAGCTTCAAGGCACAACCCCACTGAAGAACCATAAAGGGCCTCAACTCTTTCACTGCCCGTCATGTAGACCTACGTCACTAAAGGCCTGGCCTTTCACATAATGTACATCTTGAGCTCGGCTCACTCTGATAAGCTGAAAGTGGTAAATTTTGGTCCAAATATGAGAGAATGGGTCTGTGTGGAGAGTTCATACAGTATAAAAAAAATCCTGCTTCATTTGGTGCATAATGGGAAAAGCAAAACTCTGATCTCGAGTTTGGTTTAAAATATCGAATCTGGGGAGTTTTCTATGATGGTTTTCATGGCTTTATTGGCCGTTTCTTGGCATCATTTGATAGAATGGAATCATTCAATATTTGTCAATTTTCCTGAGCATGGGTAAGGCCCCCCTTACAGCTCCTGGTCTGTTTTAGAAGTTATTACTAGATGTGATTCAATTATTGGGATGCTGTAAACCATGCTGTAAACCATGGTGGCCTGGTGGTTAACGCTCTCGCTTCACACGGTGAGGGCCTGGGTTCGATTCCCAGCCAGAGTAGAAACATTGGACGTGTTTCTTTCAACCTGTTGTCTATGTTCCCCATCAGTAAAATGGGTTCTTGGGTGTTAGTCGACTGGTGTGGGTCGCATCCTGGGACACTGACCTAAGGAGGCCTGGTCACAGACCGGGCCGCGGGGGCGTTGACCCCCGGAACTCTCTCCAGATAAACCTCCAGATTCCTGGTTACACAACCTCTTCCGCTTCTAAGACCACATCATTAAATGAATTTGTCACTAAGTGAGGAGCATACTATAATGTTACTGAGTTTGTGTCAGCCATCTTTGATATTGTTTTCATGTCACCTTTGCATCATTTATAACATTTCTGGAATATTTTTAAATGTTTATACAGTAGTGTACTGCACATTGTAATAAATAGAATAGAGGGAATCAGCTCTAATATACATTATTTAGGTATGCGTACTGGTCAGAGAGTCCGTCATAAGTCGGAGTCGTCGGAAAACGAGTACATGCACGTCACTAAGTGATGAGAGGCTGTATTTTATTATAAGAAATAGGATAAATCTTTGATTTTTTTTTTTATAATGATACACTGAAACATATACGTGAACAGTATTTAGATAAGGCTAAAGAGGTCTTTGTGGCATTTATGGATTTGGAAAAGGCGTATGACAGGGTGGATAGGGGGGCAATGTGGCAGATGTTGCAGTGTATGGTGTAGGAGGTAGGTTACTGAAAGCAGTGAAGAGTTTTTACGAGGATAGTGAGGCTCAAGTTAGAGTATGTAGGAAAGAGGGAAATTTTTTCCCAGTAAAAGTAGGCCTTAGACAAGGATGTGTGATGTCACCGTGGTTGTTTAATATATTTATAGATGGGGTTGTAAGAGAAGTAAATGCGAGGGTCTTGGCAAGAGGCGTGGAGTTAAAAGATAAAGAATCACACACAAAGTGGGAGTTGTCACAGCTGCTCTTTGCTGATGACACTGTGCTCTTGGGAGATTCTGAAGAGAAGTTGCAGAGATTGGTGGATGAATTTGGTAGGGTGTGCAAAAGAAGAAAATTAAAGGTGAATACAGGAAAGAGTAAGGTTATGAGGATAACAAAAAGATTAGGTGATGAAAGATTGGATATCAGATTGGAGGGAGAGAGTATGGAGGAGGTGAACGTATTCAGATATTTGGGAGTGGACGTGTCAGCGGATGGGTCTATGAAAGATGAGGTGAATCATAGAATTGATGAGGGAAAAAGAGTGAGTGGTGCACTTAGGAGTCTGTGGAGACAAAGAACTTTGTCCTTGGAGGCAAAGAGGGGAATGTATGAGAGTATAGTTTTACCAACGCTCTTATATGGGTGTGAAGCGTGGGTGATGAATGTTGCAGCGAGGAGAAGGCTGGAGGCAGTGGAGATGTCATGTCTGAGGGCAATGTGTGGTGTGAATATAATGCAGAGAATTCGTAGTTTGGAAGTTAGGAGGAGGTGCGGGATTACCAAAACTGTTGTCCAGAGGGCTGAGGAAGGGTTGTTGAGGTGGTTCGGACATGTAGAGAGAATGGAGCGAAACAGAATGACTTCAAGAGTGTATCAGTCTGTAGTGGAAGGAAGGCGGGGTAGGGGTCGGCCTGGGAAAAAGGTTGGAGGGAGGGGGTTAAGGAGGTTTTGTGTGCGAGGGGCTTGGACTTCCAGCAGGCATGCATGAGCGTGTTTGATAGGAGTGAATGGAGACAAATGGTTTTTAATACTTGACGTGCTGTTGGAGTGTGAGCAAAGTAACATTTATGAAGGGATTCAGGGAAACCGGCGGGCCGGACTTGAGTCCTGGAGATGGGAAGTACAGTGCCTGCACTCTGAAGGAGGGGTGTTAATGTTGCAGTTTAAAAACTGTAGTGTAAAGCACCCTTCTGGCAAGACAGTGATGGAGTGAATGATGGTGAAAGTTTTTCTTTTTCGGGCCACCCTGCCTTGGTGGGAATCGGCCAGTGTGATAATAAAAAAAAACACTGAAAATGAAGAGGCATGAGGATGTAATTAAAAAACAGACAAAATATTTTAGGGCCTGGAATCCCTACAATGTTTATTTTCAATTTAGAGTAAAATTTGACCAAGTTACCCATTTCTGTGCACTTTATTGGGTAGTTCCTCTACTAAATCACTTGTAATCTGGTACAAAACACTGTAATAAAGAAACATACCATCTGTAGTGAAGAGGTCTAGTGACCCACCATCCTGCTTCTCCCACGGTGGGACCAAGTAAAGTATATAAGCAATTCTCCGGCCTTCTAGTTCATCATCGTGGCACAGCAACACATCTGTAATAAAATATAACACCTAAACTGTTATATCTGTGCGCCTTTGGCAAGACAGTGATAGTGTGAATTATGGTGAAAGAGTTTCTTTTTTGGGTCACTCTGCCTAGGTGGGAGACAGCCAGCATGTTATGGGAAGACAAAACAAGGAACAGTTTAAACATTATTTTTTTTTTTTTTTATTATCACACTGGCCGATTCCCACCAAGGCAGGGTGGCCTGAAAAAGAAAAACTTTCACCATCATTCACTCCATCACTGTCTTGCCAGAAGGGTGCCTTTACACTACAGTTTTTAAACTGCAACATTAACACCCCTCCTTCAGAGTGCAGGCACTGTACTTCCCATCTCCAGGACTCAAGTCCGGCCTGCCGGTTTCCCTGAACCCCTTCATAAATGTTACTTTGCTCACACTCCAACAGCACGTCAAGTATTAAAAACCATTCGTCTCCATTCACTCCTATCAAACACGCTCACGCACGCCTGCTGGAAGTCCGAGCCCCTCGCACACAAAATCTCCTTTACCCCCTCCCTCCAACCTTTCCTAGGCCGACCCCTACCCTGCCTTCCTTCTACTACAGACTGATACACTCTTGAAGTCATTCTGTTTCGCTCCATTCTCTCTACATGTCCGAACCACCTCAACAACCCTTCCTCAGCCCTCTGGACAACAGTTTTGGTAATCCAGCACCTCCTCCTAACTTCCAAACTACGAATTCTCTGCATTATATTCACACCACACACTGCCCTCAGACATGACATCTCCACTGCCTCCAGCCTTCTCCTCGCTGCAACATTCATCACCCATGCTTCACACCCATATAAGAGTGTTGGTAAAACTATACTCTCATACATTCCCCTCTTTGCCTCCAAGGACAAAGTTCTTTGTCTCCACAGACTCCTAAGTGCACCACTCACTCTTTTCCCCTCATCAATTCTATGATTCACCTCATCCTTCATAGATCCATCCGCTGACACGTCCACTCCCAAATATCTGAATATATTCACCTCCTCCATACTCTCTCCCTCCAATCTGATATTCAATCTTTCATCACCTAATCTTTTTGTTATCCTCATAACCTTACTCTTTCCTGTATTCACTTTCAATTTTCTTCTTTTGCACACCCTACCAAATTCATCCACCAATCTCTGCAACTTCTCTTCAGAATCTCCCAAGAGCACAGTGTCATCAGCAAAGAGCAGCTGTGACAACTCCCACTTTTATTTTATATATTACAAAGGTTGAAGAAAAAACAATTAGGAATGTTGGCTCCTCTTTGACACTGCCATTATCTGTAAATATGACAGTAGAGTTATTGAAATAATTTATTGAAGGAGGGGTGGAGATATGTTACAATTTTTGAAATGTAGCATTGGCACACCTCTACCAAGACAGTGATGGAGTGAGTGATGATGAAAAATATTTCTTCTTTTTTGGGTCGCCCTGCCACAGTGGGAAGTGGGTAAAGTGTTAAAAAAAATAAGTATATGGTACTGAAAAGTAGTGGAGGACACAAAATAGTAACTATGACCAAAGGGTCATAGTGATTATTTTGTCCCGAGCTGCAACATTTCCAATAAACACGTCCTAGTGATTGCATTTTGTCTCTTCTCCAATAAATTACTTACCAGTATATGAATATTTGGAAGAGCCCATATCAACAGTGTCATTCAGAGGTATACCAGTCACATCTATTAACCATTTACGAACATCACCGTACAGAAAGTTGCGAAGCCCTGCTATATACGGAGTGGTGGCATTTTTCAAGTCGGAGGTTTGTGAAAACTGCAAGAAGAAAAAAAATTATGAAAGATTAATCATGAGGTTAAATAATTAAAATATAATAAAGAATATGTAGATACAAAAAAATGGAGAAATAGTCAATCTGAAATGCAGTGAAGCTTAAAACAGTTGCCACTGTTTATAAGTGCAGTGGACCCCCGCCTAACGATCAGCTCCCAACTCGACCAATTATGTAAGTGTATTTTTGTAAGTGCTTTTGTAGGTGTATTTTTGGGGGTCTGAAACGGACTAATCTAATTCACAATACAGTGGACCCCCGGTTAACGATATTTTTTCATTCCAGAAATATGTTTAGGTGCCAGTACTGACCGAATTTGTTCCCATAAGGAATATTGTGAAGTAGATTAGTCCATTTCAGACCCCCAAACATACATGTACAAACGCACTTACATAAATACACTTACATAATTGGCCGCATTGGGAGGTGATCGTTAAGCGGGGGTCCACTGTATTTCTTATGGGAACAAATTCGGTCTATAACGGCACCCAAACAGACTTCTGGGTTGAAATAATATCGTTAGGTGGGGGTCCACTGCACAGTCAGCCCTACAAATTCACAGTAGTGACATGTCTTGGTTATCAGAAAATTCAGGAATTGTAAGTATCACTGAGTTCCTCCCAAAATATGAGGTTATAAGAACAAAAATTACACTGCCATTTGCATTACATTTGCCCCAGTAGTGGTGGCATAATTGAATTTTAAGGATGATGACTAATTGTTCACATGTACCCTAAAACGTATTTGTCAGGTACTTAGACCCTTAAACCTAACAATTAGGGTTACCAGGAATGCCTTAATATGGCACAGTGAACTCCAAAACAAACATGCTATTGTCACTTAGGGTTTTTTTACACAGCAATCTCCCACCATGACAGGAGACCCAAAGGACAAATTTCCCTTCATTAAGTCAACAGCTGTCTAGCCAGAAGTATGCAGACACCACAATTTAAATGACCCTTTAAACTGCAACATCTCTAGCTCAGTGAGCCACCAGCAGCAACAGCCAGGTTGATCAAGCAAGCACCAGGCAAGTCTGGCCCATGGCTGGGCTCCAGGAGTAGAAAAACTTGGAACTCATCAAAGGTATCCTTCAGAGTGAGTGCAAGGTGTTTCTCACATACAGGACTTGAGTCCAGATATTTCTCATACAATATGTCCATGACTTACGAACACATTGAGAATCTCCAGTATTATTTTTTATTTTTTATTATCACACTGGCCGATTCCCACCAAGGCAGGGTGGCCCGAAAAAGAAAAACTTTCACCATCATTCACTCCATCACTGTCTTGCCAGAAGGGTGCTTTACACTACAGTTTTTAAACTGCAACATTAACACCCCTCCTTCAGAGTGCAGGCACTGTACTTCCCATCTCCAGAACTCAAGTCCGGCCTGCCGGTTTCCCTGAATCCCTTCATAAATGTTACTTTGCTCACACTCCAACAGCACGTCAAGTATTAAAAACCATTTGTCTCCATTCACTCCTATCTTGAATTTACAAACACGTTGGAGACCTTCTGTATTGTGTATAATGATGATATTATACACAATAATGATACAATAATTATATACACAATACGGAAGATTCTCAATGTGGTTTATAAGTACTGTGTATAGCTGCCCATTCTCACACCAGGAGTGTTTATCACACATAATTAAGTGTCTCCTGGCTATGCTCAACTGCCAGATGAACTGTGATTGTTTTTAATTTGTTTATTTGCGGTTAAATATAAAATTTATATGTTTATGTAACCCAACCTTACCTCTCCGGCTTGCACTATACCTCTGGCAAATTTTAAAGACCCTTCTACCCTACTAGCCTTGCCTTTGGCCAGGCTTCCTTACTGAGTGCTTGCTCAATCAGGTGTTGCTGCTAGCAGCCCACTGGCCCACAAAACCATTACAGCCTGGTTGATCTGCCCCTCTGCAAAGATTTATTCTGGCAATATTTCCAATAACTACTGATACCAGGTTGGGCCATGAATTTGATGGGAAGTACAGTGCCTGCACTCTGAAGGAGGGGTGTTAATGTTGCAGTTTAAAAACTGTAGTGTAAAGCACCCTTCTGGCAAGACAGTGATGGAGTGAATGATGGTGAAAGTTTTTCTTTTTCGGGTCACCCTGCCTTGGTGGGAATCGGCCAGTGTGATAATAAAAAAAAATAAAATAAACCTCTTACTATGCCTGTAGTGTCACTGTTTTTCACTGGATTTATTTTACACTGTCATCTATATCTCTGGAGGTGGGAAGTGCCTGCACTCTGGAGGAGGGGTGGGGATATTTGCAGCTGTGAACTATAGTATCAGCGCCCCTCTGGCAAGACAGTGAAGGAGTAAGTGATAGTAAAAACGTTTCTTCTTTTGGGGTCGCCCTGCCTTGGTGGGATATGGCCAATGTGTTTAACCCTTAAACTGTCCAAATGTAGATCTACATTTGCTTGCGTAGCGCTCCAAACGTAGATCTACATTTGCTTGCGAAGCGCTCCAAACGTAGATCTACATTTGCTTGCGTAGCACTCCAAACGTAGATCTACATTTGCTTGCATAGCACTCCAAACGTAGATCTACATTTTTTTTACATGCTTTCTTATGAAGAAAATCAAGGTCAGAGCACTACGTGCACAAATGTAGATCTACGTTTGGACAGTTTAAGGGTTAAAAAGATATAAATCTATATCTCTCACTCCAATAAGTTATGGCAGTGTGTAATTTAGAACTTTGCCCTCAGTTATCTTCCATGTGTATATTATCAGGTATCTAACTAATTTCATCTCTCCCAAGAGTATATTCCTGGTTCATACTCTGAGACCTTCCTAGTAGTTTAAATGTTTTGCTGACTCCATGATGGCAGTAAACAATCTCTGTACAGTGGAACTTCGGTGTTCGAACGCACCGGACCTCGAATGAACTGAAAGTCCGAACAATTTTGTTCAGAAAAAATTTACCCCATCTTTGGATGTTTTACTGGAGTTCAAACGTGCTGGTTTGTTTACAACTCAGTTGGCGTCGTGCTAGAACACGGCGCGTTTGGCCTCCTTGCTCTCTACCTACATTTTTTTACTGTGGTTTTGTTGTAAATATTAGCACAGTACTAATTATATTATTATTACTAAAGATTAGTGACCAAGGCCTTGAAAAAAAAGCAGTAGTGAAAATAAAGGAAAATACTTTCGGATATGGAACTTTTTGTAGTTTGACCACCACCTAGGAACTAATTAAGTTCAAACACCGAGGTTCCACTATACGTTTAAAACTCTGATAACTCTCCTGCCTTGAATGGGGCTGTAAGCACATAGCAATTTTAAAAATGTGAGAGAACATGTGATTTCAACAGTATCATTGTTATAAAGATTTAGATATGTGCAACACCTGGCTGTCTTTATTGAAGACATTTCTCCATCCAGTGGCTTTATCAATACAAATTCAAGGACGTAATTGAAAGACTGCAGAAACATATACAAAAGACGAGGTAATCAGTCCCTCAGTCTTGGAGTTGGTGAAGACCACCGTAGTCTTGAAGTCGGCAGAGTCTTCAAGACTACAGTGTACTCTTCGACTCCAAAGCTGAGGGACTGATTACCTCGTCTTTTTGTATACAGTCATCCCATTATGTCCTTGTACTGCATTTATAAAGCCACTGGATGGCGAAACATCTACAATACAGATACCCAGATGTTGTACATGTGTCTAATTCATCTTGTCAGTTCTGTATACCACTCAAGTACAATATCATCATTGGCATTAATTCTCTTATTTCCTAAGTTCTCATTTTCCAACCTGTAAGTTTTCTGACCTTTACTACATTTACTTTATTGTTCTCTGGATGATATTTCATCTGACATTGCCATTCCTATGTTCTTTACCTTTTCTCACAAAATACCCCAAGTTTCATACATAATTCGTTCCAGAAAGCTGTTCGAGTGCCGTTACTGAACGAATTCGTCCCCATAAGGAATAATTTAAATTACATTAGTCTGTTTCAGACCCCCCAAAATTACATTTACAAATGCACTTACAAATATACACTTACATAATTGTTCGAGTTGGGAGCTGTACGAAACTCGGGTTACCACTGTAATTTGAGATATTATGAAATTGCTTGGAAATTCACTGTTTTTTCACAGTGGTTATTTTACTCTCACTGTATACTGAGAAAGGAGAGAATAAATGAAGAGAAACAGGGAAGTCAACTGAATGATAAATGATAAACTGTAATGGGAACACTAATGTGTACACACACACACACACACACACACACACACACACACACACAACACACACAACACACACACACACACACACACACACACACACACACACACACAAAAAAAAAAAAAAAAAAAAAACCTGCAACCACAAATAGGTGAGTACACACATACACACTCTGCAAACACACGTACACACATGGATACACAAAAAAAGTTGTATCAAACACAACTAGCAACAAATATTATTGTACAATTTACCTTGTAAAGATCATTGTTCTTCAGATTGTATTCATAAGCTTGTAACTCATTTGCTACCCCTTCAAGTACATCAGCATTTTTCAGAAAGTTTGGAGCATAACAGCAAGTGAATGGCTTCTTTATAAGCTTCAAACCTGCATCTGAATTATGAGAAAGTGTTTAGTAAATTTATTTAGGTACAGGTACACATAAATACAGCTACACAAATTATTATACACAGTAACATACAGGTGCTCCTCGCTTTACGATGGTTCCTCGTGATATTGATAATGGGGGGATATGAAGCACATTCGTAGCATCAAATTTTTTAAACGTTTTTAAAAAACCAAATTTCCCAAAACCCCTTTTTTTTATTTTTAATATCTGGCTCTCTCTCCCCAAAGACAAGATACCTCCCCCCCCCCCCTTCAAAAAAAAAACTTTCACCATCTTCACACATCATTTGTCTTTGCAGAGGCGTGAAAAAATATACGTTTAGATGTCATTCTTAACAGAAAAATACCCAAACCCCCTCCTTCAAAGTCGGTTTTGTACTTCCCGCCCCAGGATTCAAGTCTGAAAAACCCAAAAAAATTTGGGGCGTTTAAGGATTCAGGAGATGGCAGGCGGGATTTGATCCGGGAGGGGGGAATACAGTGTCTGCACCTGAAGGAGGGGTGTAATGTTGCGTTTAAAAACTGAATTTAAGCACCCCTGCAAGACAGTGATGGGTAAAATGAATGAAAGTTTTTTCTTCTTTCCGGGCACCCTCCTGGGTGGGAAATGGTCACATGTTAAAAGAAAAAAAAAAGTAACAAAAGGGTTTTTCCAAGCTCATTATGTCATAAATGCCCAAATGTGCCCCGCTTCGGTTTTTACCACAGTAATTATTTTTTTATTTTTCAATGAAGTAGTTATTATTTATCATTTTTTAAATTCATATTCTGTAGGATGGGTTGGTAGACAGCAACCCCCAGGGAGGTACTACCGTCCTGGGAGTAGGTTGGTAGACAGCAACCACCCAGGGGGGTACACCGTCCACCAAGAATTAAAACGGAACCTGTAATTTTTTTTACATGGGGGTAGGATTGCGGTGCCTTTTTTTTTCTGTCTCATAAACATGCAAGTTTTCGGGTACGTCTTGCTACTTCTACTTCACTTAGGAAACAACACTACATGTACAAGCATATATAACACCCCCTCGGGTTTTTCTTCTATTTTCTTTCTAGTTTTTTTGTTCTTTTTTTTTTTCCTTTACCTCCTTGGAAGGGGAACAGAATTCTTCCTCCAACCATGTTGTTGAAGAGGCGACAAAATGCCAACAAGGGCGAAAACCCCTTTTCTCTTGTATAAATTACAAAATTAAAAAAGGGAAAAACTTTTGTTTTCTTTTTGGGCCACCCTCCTTGGGGGGGATACGACCTTTTTGAAAAAAAAAAAAAATATTCAATCGATTTTAGATTTTTTTAAATTTACGGGGGTTCACCAGAATGTAACCCCCCCATATGTAAAGGGAGCACCTGCAGGTAAATTACCTAGAATTACCCCAAAAGTAAAGTGACTTTTTTTCCTTGGGGTCCTGTTGTTTGTTAGGGCTAAATTTATTATTGAAAAACACATTATTATACAGATTTAAAATACATATTGGAATTATTACAACAAAATGGCGGGAAAAATGGGGTGGTGACAAAACCGGGAAGAGTGAAAAAGATACTTTTGTACAGTGCGAACGTTTCCTTTTTAAATCAAAACTAAAGTGTTAAACCCACAAGGGTCATACGGTTCCCCCTAATAAATTCCTAACTTACATAACACCTTTTTTTACACGGCCGGGTTTCCAAAAGGAACAGAAATTATGATCCAATTTAAAAACCCCCAAATTTTCAACATCCTTTTCCAACTTTTAAACAGCAAGTGCTGATTTTACATTACAAAAATTAAATAGTTTCAGCTAATCAATGCCTTGAATCCCTCTAAAATTCAGGAAAATTTTAACCTTACAGGAAACAGCATGGAACAGGCAAATGTAAAAAATACTCGCCTAACAACCCCCTGTCAAGCAAGGGGAAAGTGGGCAAATAAGGAAACCGTATCAACATTTCTGGGGACAATAGATAACATTGTATAGCATTCCCTGATTCGGAACACAAAAAGGGAAAAAACTGCATCAACTTCAAGGCCCAGACAAACACCCTCTTTCCAGAAGAACAAAACACTGCTGGGACAAATGAGAAGTCAAGGAAACTGACAAAATTTCTTTCCCCTTGTGTTTAATAATTTTATTCATGTAAAGTACAAAAATTTTTTTACTAGCAAAGAAACAAAAATTTTGATTTTTTATTTTAAGTGCCAGACCACCCGCCAACAGCCTGGTTGACCAAACCGTTTACTAAAAACCTTTGGGTTTACAACGGGGTCTCTAACCAGTTTGTTTCCTAAGTAATGTTTTTGAGTTTATTTTCCCTATTCGTTTACGTACAGCCTTTCTCAATTAGTGACGGGGTTCGGTTTTCCAGGACCCATCGGGAAACAAATTCATCGCAAATGCCACATACTATAATTTGGGAGGGGTTTGTTCCCACTTTTTATATTTTTTTAAAAAAGCAAACCTTTTTCACCGTTTATAAAAAAATTTCTTAAATTTTTTAATTTTTAACGTGTATATTAAAATTTAATAAACAAAAAGAAAAAAATAACCTAATATACTTTATTTTAGGTATTTAAAAACTGAAAACAGAGAGCCCCCCGTAAGTCCAAACATTGTAAAAAAGTCGTCGCTAATGAGGGGAGGGGATACAGTAACTACTGTATAAACTTTAAAAAAAATACCAAAATGTTATAAAGGGGCAAAGGTACATTAAAACAATATCAAAGATGGTTACACAACCCACCACCAATAGTATGCTCTTTACTTTGCAACAAAATTTTTTTCCAAAGTGGTCTTTGGTACGGGAAATGTGTCTTAAGCGAGGGGAAGGGGTGTAGGATCTGATCTCAAATCAGCAAATCCATTTCCTCTGAGTTATTTTTTTAATTTTTTTAATAAAATTGATTTTTTATTATCAAACAAGAGACTGTTACCTGCAAAGTCTCTTCTAGAATCCAGTTCTTGAACCAATGTCATGTAATGTAAAAAGTTGTATCTAAATCTTAAAGACTTAAATCAAAAAATCTGTCTTTTAAAAATCTACAATAACTCTTTTTTCTACTATATTTCAATGCACTCATTGAATCAATTTTTTTTGTTGGAGACAGCAACCACCCAGGAAGTACTCCGCCTCCAGAACTTTAAAAAAAAACCTGTAACTGTTTTGCATGATGGTAGGATTGCGGTTTCTTTTTTTGTCTCATAAACACGCTAATAACAGGGATTCTTTTACCCTACTTACACTTTTGGCACACTTCACAGACCCACATGCAATTAAAAATACTACTCAGGTTTTTCTCCTTTTTCTAAATAGCTCTTGTTCTTTTTTTATTTCTTCTATTGTCCATGGGGAAGTGGAAAAGAATCTTTCCTCCGTAAGCCATGCGTGTCGTATGAGGCGACTAAATGCCGGGAGCAATGGGCTAGTAACCCTTCTCCTGTATACATTTACTAAAAAAGAGAAGAAGAAAAACTTTATAAAACTGGGATGCTTAAATGTGCGTGGATGTAGTGCGGATGACAAGAAACAGATGATTGCTGATGTTATGAATGGAAAGAAGTTGGATGTCCTGGCTCTAAGCGAAACAAAGCTGAAGGGGGTAGGAGAGTTTCAGTGGGGGGAAATAAATGGGATTAAATCTGGAGTATCTGAGAGAGTTAGAGCAAAGGAAGGGGTAGCAGTAATGTTAAATGATCAGTTATGGAAGGAGAAAAGAGAATATGAATGTGTAAATTCAAGAATTATGTGGATTAAAGTAAAGGTTGGATGCGAGAAGTGGGTCATAATAAGCGTGTATGCACTGGAGAAGAGAGGAATGCAGAGGAGAGAGAGAGATTTTGGGAGATGTTAAGTGAATGTATAGGAGCCTTTGAACCAAGTGAGAGAGTAATTGTGGTAGGGGACCTGAATGCTAAAGTAGGAGAAACTTTTAGAGAGGGTGTGGTAGGTAAGTTTGGGGTGCCAGGTGTAAATGATAATGGGAGCCCTTTGATTGAACTTTGTATAGAAAGGGGTTTAGTTATAGGTAATACATATTTTAAGAAAAAGAGGAATAATAAGTATACACGATATGATGTAGGGCGAAATGACAGTAGTTTGTTGGATTATGTATTGGTAGATAAAAGACTGTTGAGTAGACTTCAGGATGTACATGTTTATAGAGGGGCCACAGATATATCAGATCACTTTCTAGTTGTAGCTACACTGACAGTAAAAGGTAGATGGGATACAAGGAGAATAGAAGCATCAGGGAAGAGAGAGGTGAAGGTTTATAAACTAAAAGAGGAGGCAGTTAGGGAAAGATATAAACAGCTATTGGAGGATAGATGGGCTAATGAGAGCATAGGCAATGGGGTCGAAGAGGTATGGGGTAGGTTTAAAAAATGTAGTGTTAGAGTGTTCAGCAGAAGTTTGTGGTTACAGGAAAGTGGGTGCAGGAGGGAAGAGGAGCGATTGGTGGAATGATGATGTAAAGAGAGTAGTAAGGGAGAAAAAGTTAGCATATGAGAAGTTTTTACAAAGTAGAAGTGATGCAAGGAGGGAAGAGTATATGGAGAAAAGAGAGAGGTTAAGAGAGTGGTGAAGCAATGTAAAAAGAGAGCAAATGAGAGAGTGGGTGAGATGTTATCAACAAATTTTGTTGAAAATAAGAAAAAGTTTTGGAGTGAGATTAACAAGTTAAGAAAGCCTAGAGAACAAATGGATTTGTCAGTTAAAAATAGGAGAGGAGAGTTATTAAATGGAGAGTTAGAGGTATTGGGAAGATGGAGGGAATATTTTGAGGAATTGTTAAATGTTGATGAAGATAGGGAAGCTGTGATTTCGTGTATAGGGCAAGGAGGAATAACATCTTGTGGAGTGAGGAAGAGCCAGTTGTGAGTGTGGGGAAGTTCGTGAGGCAGTAGGTAAAATGAAAGGGGGTAAGGCAGCCGGGATTGATGGGTTTAAAGATAGAAATGTTAAAAGCAGGTGGGGATATAGTTTTTGGAGTGGTTGGTGCAATTATTTAATAA